GTGATAGGGTCTCACTATTGAGTTCAAGCTGGCCTTGAGCTCACTTTGTAGTCTCCAATTTACAATGATCCTCCTGCCTTAGCTTCCTGGGTGCTGGGATTACAGGCATATGCCACTGTGCCCGGCCTTAAACATTGCATTTGATTGAAGTTTATTTTTAATATTAGTGAACAGAAGTAAGTATTCCTATGTATTTATTTATTTATTTATTGGTCCTGGGAATCAAACTCAGGACCTTGAGCTTGCCAGGCAGGCACTTTATGCCACTGGGCTAAATCCTTGGCCTACACTGTGTTTAAATAACCAAAAGTGCTTTGAAATATATTGAGTTTTTAAGTATATTTGTATTCCCACATATTTGATATGGTATTTCTTTAGTAAGTAGATTTTATAATGCTTCCATTGTGTAAAATTTTTATTACATACAAAAATGAAAGTACAGCACACCTCCAAATCCAGCTTCAGCAAGTGTCCATTCATGAACAGGCCTATTGCCCTGGGACTCCCGGTGAGTCATCTACAGCCTCCCTTCTCCATGGAGTTTCAGAAGCAAATCCGTGTCACGGTTGGGAACATCATATTCCTTAGGCCTCTTTTGTTCTCCTATCAGGACTAATTTTCAGGACCGGGATGTGGCTGGCAACCTTAAGGAACATGGTAGCTTCTCTTTCCTACCCATCTATACCCACCGTCACTCCAGGACGAACAGCACGCTCCCCGCTTGCTGTAACATTGGTAAGTGCTTTGGATTAGATGTTGTTCCTCAGCAGTGAAGCAAGCCCACTACACGTGCAGACGTCCTCTAAGTCCACCTGTGCTGCCCTGTGGCCTCTGAGAGAGGGGAGCTAACACACAACCATCCAGATGTAAAAGTTGTGCATGTAACAATGGTGAATGCACAGCAGTGTGAGTGTAATTGGTGTTCTTTAACATGTACACTGGTGTACTTCTTCCAGTGAAGACTCTGGAGAGCTGGAGAAAGCCTCCCTTACACGTCTCTGCTGCTTCCTCTTTCTCTTCTTTTTTTAACGTGTGGATCTAAAATTAAGCACGGTGCTTTTTTTGTGTGTGGTAGTACCCAGTGGGAAGGCACAGCAGAACATTTTCCTGAGAGCAACCCAGAGACGCATCTGTTCAAATCAATGAGTTACCAACTCATTGGCAGGGATTAGAAATGTAAATCATCATGTGGATTGTGCCATACAACCTTTGCCATTTGAAGTATTAATTAAGTTTTTTGTTTAATTTCCCACCATAGGATCTATTAACTCACACTGGATATTTCATGAACCATTGAAATGCTGGGAATTAGAGCAGGTTAAAAAAAAGTACACTGAAGATTGGAGGAAGAAATGGAAGAGTTATTTTTCAAGTTATTTTTGAATAACTTGACATTTCCTATACACCAGCTTACCATCATTATATGAAATTAATACAATTTTGAAATCTGGAGGGATTATTTTTCTCTTCTGCCTATCTCTCAGCAAGGAAACTAAGAGAATAAATTCACAAGTGTATTTTGTTGGTATAATATACGTGTGTGTCTCTGTGTGTGTGTGTTTTAGTACAGGGTCTACAAGGTCTACAGGGTCTCACTACGTAGATCGGATTTGTAGTGATCTGCCCGTGGTTAGCGTCCCAAGTGCTGGGATTACAGGCAGGCGCCACCACGCCACGTCTCAATCACCATCTCAACACGCCCTGGGGGCGGGGCCAGCACTGCTTGCAGGGCATGAACCGAGTCTGCAACGTCTGCCAAAGCAGGCGCTTTAATCCGCTGAGCTATTTGGCTGGTCCTGGTATAATATACTTTCATGTTAGGGGAAAAACAAAAACAAAAAAAGAACACCGCCCTGTGATCTTCACAATAAAAATGAAAGCACAGCTCAAGTAAATTAACACGGTTTATGGGGCAGTGACCTCAGCGGCCTGTCTTCCAAATCAAAACAACAGGTAGGAAGTACGCTATTTGTGTTGGTTACATAACATTTCTTTTAGCTTTTAGCTGCTGTGAGACAGATTTCTCCAAAACCTAGTGGCTAAAAACACCGTGCACTTATCCTTGCAGTTTCTGTGAGCTGAGCATTCAAGAGCGAGAGGTTGTGAGCCTCGGGCTGGGGCTCTCTCCTGAGCGGCCTTCAAGCTGGGGGGTCAGAGCTGCACGCCTTCCCTACCGGAAGGGCGCGTGGCTGCTGGCAGGTTCAGAAGGTTCCCTGCCAAGTTTGTCACCTGGGCCACTCCCCGGGGCCGCCTGGGCACACAGGAACTGGCTTCACAGAACGAGCAACCCAAGGTTAGTGTCAGGGGGCCAAGCCCGAAACCACAGAAGGGGCCTCCCCTTGTCTTCCACGTTTCATTTAGTAGAGAAGACAAAATAAGCCCAGCCTACCTTCAGGGGGAGGGGATCACATCTGGATGAGAATCCCAGGAGGAGGGATTGCTGGGGCCATGGGCGAGGCTGTCTGCTATGGTTTGTTCACTTTAAATGAAACAATTCTAAATACTATATACATTCTTGTGGTTAAAAATTCAAAATGTCCAAGGAGTGGATAGTAAAGAGTCTTTCCTGCACCGTGTCAGCCCTCCTTGAGCAAACTGTTCTTGTGTTAGCCTTTCAGAACCACTCTGAGAAATATTAAGTTGGAGCACTGGACTCCACAGATGGAAGGAGGCTGTAATCTCCCTCTTGCCGCTTCGGTCTTGCTTTGGATGCCTCCTTGCCCAGCCCTTGGAGGAAATCCGAGGTGGACACTGTGACTATCCCTTCCCTCCTATACTAAGTCCTGCAGTCATAGCATAGCTTCATTTCAGAAGTAGGATACCTACTCCTGAGTAACAATACATCCCCATGCTTGGAAGTTTTTAGTATTTTATTTTAAAAATTGAATTTATTTGTATATTTTAGGCATACATAATGATCACATTCGCATAGGAAATTGGAACCTGTACATGATACAATTTGATTCTCTGTTTTCCCACTCCCCTACTTCTCTTCAATCCCACTTCCCTTCCTTGTTTACAAAAGCTTTGTTTCCATTTTTTCTTTCTTTTCTCATCATTTTTTTCTTTTCCTTCTTTTCTCCTTCACCCATCCCTATCCTCTTCCTATTTGAATTTTTTTTTTTCCTATTTCACAATATTTTTTATACATTCTGGTCCTTATTTATACTTTGGGTTTCTCACACCAGAGAAACAACATGGTATTTAAGTATGTGTCTGATTTATTTCACTTAAGAGTATATCCTCAAGGTGCATCCATTTAGCAAGCAATCTCAAACTTAACCTTCCTTATGGCAGAGTAGTAGTCCATTGAAGAAAAAAAGCCACATTTTCTTTTGCTATCCATCAATCGGTGGGCATTTGGGATGTTTGCAAGATTTAGCTATGCCAAACTGTGCCACCATAAAAAGGTGTATGCTTTTATCACTGTAGTATGATGCTTTTAATTCTTTTGGAAAGATACCAAGAAAAGGAATGGCTGGGTCAAACGGAACCTATAGTCCTAGTTTTTTGAGCAATTTTCACACTGATTTCAATAGTGGTTGCCCCAGTCTGGATTCCCACTATCAGAGGAGAAGAGTTTCTTTTTCCCCACAACCCAGTAAGCATTTGTTATTGGTTGACTTCTTGATGGTAGCCATTCTTGCTGGGGTGAGGTGAAATTTCAGAGTTGTCTTAATTTGCACTTCGAATGACTTATGCTGAACATGGTTTTATATACTTATCTGTGAAGGTCTATCCATTTCAGATGCCTATTTTTGGATTGAGTCTTTAAATTTGGAGGGTTTATTTATTTATTTTTTTTTGAGTTTTTTTAATGTAATCTAGGTATTTGTCCTTTGTCTGAAGAACAGCTAGCAAAAAAATTTCCCCACTGTTGGCTGTCTCTTCACTCAGTCACTGGTTTCTCTTGCTGTACAAAATGTTCTTTAAGATGAGATCCCAGTTGTTGATCCCTTGCAATAACTCCGATGTGATTGGGGTTTTGTTCATAAAATCTTTGCTTATACCAAAGTCTTTAAGAGTTCTACCTATTCTATATTCCAGCAGATTCTGTTTTAAGATTTAGATCTCAGATCCATTTTGATTTTAGTTTAGTGCATAGTGAAAATTATGGGTCTAGTTTCAATCTAAGATATGGGTCTAGTTTTAATCTTCAGCACATGGAAGGCTAGTTTTTCCAGTACTGTTTATTAAAAATATTATCCTTTTTCCAGTGAAGGTGTTTGGTACCTTTCTCAAAGATAAGGTGGCTAAGTATGCCTGGAGTTGTTTCTGCATCTCCTAATCTGTTTCATTGATCCTTGGGTCTGTTTTTTGCCATGACATGCTGTTTTTATTATAGTCCAAGCTTGGAACTTTAAGGCTAAGGCCTCCCCGATTTCCTAGCTGTGCCAGCTTCAAGCTGGATGCTCCTAAGAGGAAAAACAGTGAAGGCCTAGCGTCAGTTTTTCCATTTTCTGTTGTGTCCTTCTCTGTCCTCTTCTTCTTCCTTCAGACCCCAGTCTTTGTTACTGTCAGAGCTGGGGGATGGGAAACAAGTGAAATGAAAAGCTTGCCCCCTTTAGCTCTTCTATCTTCTTCAGAGACTTCCTCATGGAAACATCTAACTGCAGTTTTCCTGATATTTAACAATTCTCACTCCCAGTATTTTCTTCCAAGGACAATTTGTCTAGCCTCTTGGTGCAGCCCTGGCAAGAAGTTGTGTTTTTTGGGCCTCTTCCACTGCAGCCCTCAGAGGACCATCTAGCTCTCTCTCTCTCTCTCTCTCTCTCTCTCTCTCTCTCTC